TGTTAGATTGCTAAAACATAAGTTAAAAGTCAGAGTACAGGCCTCATGATTTTTTTTTAACTTTTCCCATTTTATTTATTTATTTATTTGTTTGTTTGTTTATTTATTTATTTATTTATTTATTGCGGTACGCGGGCCTCTCACCGTTGTGGCCTCTCCCGCCATGGAGCACAGGCTCCGGACGTGCAGGCTCAGCGGCCATGGCTCACGGGCCCAGCCGCTCCGCGGCATGTGGGATCCTCCTGGACCGGGGCACAAACCCGTGTCCCCTGCATCGGCAGGCGGACTCTCAACCACTGCGCCACCAGGGAAGCCCTGGTCTCTACTTTTATTGTAACCTGGTTCTTGCTCTCTGTGCACCGCTTTGAATCTGATACCTGAAACTGCCCTTTCTCCCCAAGTTCACTATTGTCTGAGTCAGAGACTTTATTTCCTTTTTTCTGTCCCCCACTGCTAAGGTTCCTGCTCCCACACCCAGCTCTTTATCTCTATACCCTAATCAAAGTCATACTGGATTCTCCACTTGCAAGAAAGATATTCTATTAGGTTATGGGTTAATGACCAGTGTATCGCATGCCTTTTGATAGTGGGAAGCTATGATTCACATATCTCATGGTGCTCTGGTCTGAGCGGGTCTCAACTACTGTCTATATAATTAAAGCTTGGCCAATACTGAGAAAAAACGTTTTTAAGAACACTGTAGAGGAGTGTATGGACCACATCCCGTTAGCCAAAGGATTTCTGTGCAAAGCAATGTGACATAAATTTAGGGGTAGAAGAGGCTGTCTCCCTACTGAGTCAATAAAAGATTTTCCAGGGTGTCCCAAGAGGGAGTACTTTCTTACTCTGTTTGCCCTTATAGTCATAGTTGACTTCTCCGGTGGGTGGGGGGCCGTTATCCACAAAGACCTCTGTATGTATCAATACATCAGACAAGATGCTAATTTATCCTGACCCAGCCCACCTTAACAATCCTGATATCTACTATTCATTTTATTTGTTTCTCTACCTGTTTAGGGGATGCTGTTTAAATTCATCCAAGTCCAGACTTCCCTGGTGGCGCAGTGGTTAAGAATCTGCCTGCCAATGCAGGGGACACGGGTTCAAGCCCTGGTCCGGGTAGATCCCACATGCCGCGGAGCAACTAAGCCCGTGCGCCACAACTACTGAGCCTGCGCTCCAGAGCCCGTGAGCCACAACTACTGAAGCCCGTGTACCTAGAGCCCATGCTCTGCAACAAGAGAAGCCACCGCAATGAGAAGCCTGCACACCGCAACGAGAAGCCCACGCACCGCAACAAGGAGTAGCCCCCCGCTTGCTGCAAGTAGAGAAAGCCCACGCACAGCAATGAAGACCCCACACAGCCAAAAATATATAAATAAATTAATTTTAAAAGAAAGAGTAAAGTAACTTAAAAAAAAATTCATCCAAGTCCACATTTACCCATATACTATCTCTTCTTCACAGAATATTGAATAGCATATTTGAAGAGCATTCCTTTACTTCTGTCTGGTACATCTACTGCCCCACCACAAAATTCACATACGATTCCATCTGCCACCTTATTCCATCAAAGCTGTGGCTTTGACTCCTGCCACTTTCCTACATGCTCAGCTCTGAGCTCCTGCACATAAACTAGGACAAAAAATTTGCTCCATTATTCTGCACACTGTTGCTCACACCCATCTAGTCTGTCCTCTGTTGAAGACCTTTACTTTTTGCCCAGTTCTTGCTTTCCATAGACCTCCTTGAACTTGACTATCAAACTGTTTCTTGCTTCCCACATCTGACCTCACCCAGGA